ACTCAAAACGGCATTGAGAGCAAGCCTAGAGATTCGAGACAGTCAAGCTTCAAATAGATTTGATCGCAATCTAGAAGTTGCTCTATTAATAAGTTTTAGAACATTTGTAGATTTGGAACATTTCGAGATCAACCCATCAGAAACATGAGTGAGGTTAGAACCTGAGCAAAGGGCCTGAATCCCGAGGACGATGGGTGGAGATGAATTCACTCATTAATTAATTCAGCTTATACTCGGGTCGAGGTGGCACAACATCGGAGGGTCCATGAGACTCGACAATATTAGTGGCGAGGGGTCCTTTAGGACTACCCGATTCTTTTGGGATGGTTGAGGAGTATTGATTCGGGGTGGCTAAGAAGAGGAGTTTGCTGAGGGTTGATCTCATCTTCGGGACTTTTCACATCCTCGAAGAGGTCACCTCATTAGACAAAGTAGTTAAAGAGAATATTCCCCCATGCGCTTTGCACATGGGACTCCACCACTTGAGTTGCTTATAAATAAATCACTCTCTATTGCTTTAGGGAAGAGGATTTTAGAGAGAGAGAGAGAGCCTTTGGAGTTCTCATCTTCATTCCTTAAGAGTGAAAATAGGATCTATGAGAGCATGCCATGATTATCTCTTTCTTGGCCTTTTTCTTCACCCAACATCTTCCTCCCATTATCTCTTCTTTATGTAAGCTACCATTTGTTGTGGCCATTGAAGAATCTTTCACTACTCGTTAGGGATGCCAATGGATAACCTATCTTGTGGGTATCCATGGAGATCCAACTCAAATACATGGGTTTTCTCTTATTTTTCTTATCCATTGGGTAGGGTAAGTGATATTCTTTAAATATTCAGAGGGGATGGGTTGGGGATGGATATCCACTAATTTCTCCATATGTTTTTTTTTTTCACAATCAAAACTAAATATACACTCAATCTTTTTTCTTTTATTTATTTATTTATTTTTTTAGGTTCACAACCTTTTTTTTTTTTTTAAGATCCACAACCAAAGCTAAATATACCTTCAATCTTTTTTTTTATTATTATTTTTAAGGTTCACAACCATTTTTTTTTTAATTTTTAAGATTCAGAACCAAAGCTAAATATACATTTAATCTTTTTTCTTTTTTTTTATTATTTTTTTTAAGGTTCACAACCAATTTTATTTTATTTTTTTATTTTATTTATTTATTTTTTTTAAGATTCACGACCAAACCTAAATATATATTTAATCTTTTTTCTTTTTTTTTTTAAATTTTTTTTTTAAGGTTCACAACCAATTTTATTTTATTTTTTTATTTTATTTATTTATTTTTTTTAAGATTCACGACCAAACCTAAATATATATTTAATCTTTTTAATTTTTTTTTTAAGGTTCACAACCAAATTTTTTTTTTTTTTTTTTTTTTTTTTTTTTTTTTTTTTTTTCAAATTACTCACCAAAACGACATCGTTTTGGTGAGGTTTAATTTCCATCGTTGGATGGATCACTTTAGAGATCACTTGAGGGTTTTTACTCCAGAGGATCTTGACGCATTCTAAGATACCACTTGACCGACACACCGCCACAACTAGCTTGAGATTTAGGCTAGGTTTGGCATAACCTATATAATCCATCTTTTTATCTTTTTTTCATCATATCACCTCTCTACTTTTCTGCACATCTTTTCGTAAAAAGACAAAAAATGCACTTTTTTAGGACACCCCAAACCAACCCTCAGGGAAGTACATTCTTAGTGACACAAAGCGAAATAACAATTGAATTAATAGCTAGAGAAAAAAAGTTCATTAAAATATTTTAATACATTGTTATATTTGATTTGAAATGCAAATTTAATTTTTAAATTAACACTAATCATAAAAAATAAGAAAAATTATACATCATAAAAAATATTTATAAAAGAGTAATAAATAATAATAATTGAAATTATAATTTTTTTTACTTTTTTGTAATTTTTTTTTTTAAATTTTCTAATGATGTGCAATTCTTCTTAAAAATTATGTATTGCCTAGACATTCAAGTAGTATAGTAACAAAATTAGATTCGTGTTGGTTGTATGGTCTAGGAATGATTGCATCAAAACAAAAACAGACAGCTCGGAGGCGATGAGTGAGCTCCATAATAGAGTAATGATTGAGACTCTTATTTTCACGCCATTCTTACAAATTTAAACTATTTATGATATGATATGAATCTCACACATATATAAGTGATTCCATACATAAATGGAGAGTCAGAATCACTTTAGGAGTGTGGAGGTCATCTTCAAAGAGGGTCTTAAACATTTTCCCTCTATAATAATACAGTAACAAAAATGTTAGAAGTCTCCAGATGGACCTACATTGTGTGGGTCTTACACCCATGTAAGACATTGAATAAAATTTTTGATATATTTTTTGAAATATCTAACATTACTCATACAGTAATGCAACTGTCCCATAAATTTTACCTAGAATTTTACTTAGAAACAACCTTTATTACTTAGATTTATTTTATATTTGGATGTATATTACACCAATTTAATCTTCATTATACAAACACCTTAAAAAATTTAGATAAATAAATCTAAACATAGAATATTGGATAAATTACACTATCCTCTCATTAGATTTAAAAAATATTTATTAAATCTTAAAAGTTTAACATAATTACATTGAATTTATTTAATATTTTTAGAAAAATAAATCTGAACATAGAATTATGGATAAATTACACTATCCTCTCATTAGATTTAAAAAATATTTATTAAATCTCAAAATTTTAATATAATTATGTTGAATTTATATAGTAATTTAATTAACGACAGTGCTACGTAGTTCGAAACCCCTCCCTCCCGAACCAAAAACGACGCCGTTTTTGTTTTGTTTTGTTTTGTTTTGTTTTGCAGATCAGAAGCAGGAAGAAGAAGAAGGAGGAGGAATGATGAGGGGGAGAAGGAGGAGGAGGGACTAGAGAGGGCTCAACAAATGGGGCTGGAGGCGGAGGCCGGGGGCGGAGGCGGCAGAGGCAAGGGCTGCGAGGGGCGGGGCTGCGACGGTAGAGCTGCTGCTACGACGATCGGAGCTGCTCGACGATCGACAGGTCGGCAGCGACAAGGAGGGGCCCTCTCCATTCCCTCTTCTCTTTCTCTCTTTCTCTCCTCTTTCTCTCTTCTCTTTCTCGCCTCTCGTTCCTCTGCTCTGCACGACTGAAAATGGAAGCAAAAAAAAGAAAAAAAAGAAAAAAAAAAGCTAATGCCCAAAACGACGTCGTTTTGGGCATTAGGGGGATTCGGGGGACCAATTTTCGAGCTCTCAAACATTATCCTTTCTTTTTTTACTTTTTAGATTCATTCACACAAGATGGATCGAAAATGTAAAAAAATTTAATATAATTTTGGAAAAAAAAAGCTAAAGACAAAAAATTTTGAATTTTTTTTTGTTGACTTTTTTAGACATAAGCAAACTTCCCAAACACATCCTTTTAAATGAGTTTATTATACTTCTTAATATAATATTCATATATTTAAACCAATTACATTTTGTGTATTATTTGCATTAAAAAAAAAAATTTGGGAAGAAGTTCATTTTCTTTCGAGTTCTCAGTCAAAAGAATAAATAAAAAGACAATTTGAACTTCGCCACACTCGTGAGTGTACATTCTGTTTTTGGGAGTTATCTACAAGTAGTGTGAGACATGTGACAAAAGAATGTATGGAAAAGTCCCATAACCATGACCTATATCAACATGCTTATCCCAAAATATTATATCATACTATGGCTTCGTTTGGGAAGTGGGTTAGCTTTTTAGCTTTTTTAACTTTTTTGGCTATTTTAATTTGGGCTAAAAAGTTTGGTTTGGGGAGAGTTTTTTGATTTTTTTGACTTTTTTTGTGAGAGAAGAATGTAATGATTATGAATTGAATGTGATATTTTATTTGTTATGGTTAAAATAGCCTATTTTATCTTTTATGGCTAAAATAGCCAAAAAAACTCCATAAACTAACTTGCCAAACGGAGGCTATAATGAAATACAAGAACGTTAAATACAACATATAGTTAATAAAAAGCTTCTCAAACTGAGAAAAAGAAAATACAAATAAATAGCGTCATAATTTTCTATTTAAATCTTAATGTGATTTAAGTAATGACTCAGTTTTTGGAGTAACGTGCATACACTATATGGAAAACAATATAGTGGAAGATGTGGTTTAGGAAGAGTGGAAAATTGGATTATTTTAGAATGTGAAATCTTTTACATTTTTAACCCAAACATTTACTAATGTCAATAATTGAATTTCTGTGCTTTTATTTGGTTAATTTTAATATAAGAATGAGCATTACACAAGTTTATTTTTGTGTAGTATAAATTACAAACAGGTTAGCCCTGGGCATAGGCCCACCAGACCATGGTTTAGGACCCTTCAAAATAGACTCAAAAAATGGGACCCCTCCTATTATAGTTTAGTGTAATATATTATGTATGTTTTGAGTCCAAAAAAAAAATTAAAAAATGCCCAAACTAACTTAAAATAAATTGACCTATTAAAAAATTAAAAGGCATATTCAAAATTAAAAGGGTCTATTCTTTTCCCTATCTAATTCCTAATCCTAACTCTTAATTCAAATTTTCCAAAAATTTGAGAGAAATGGCACAATAGAGCACTAACGAATTTATCAAGAATTCAGAGCAACAGCGCAGTACAGTTTTTTTTTTTTTTTTTTTTTTTCTATTCAATTAATTAAATATTTGTCTTGTCTTTTGCTCAATTGCTATTATAATATTAGTATTTATACCAATTTGCATCATCAAGAAGAATTAATCTATTGTTGCCTGTGCTATTATAATATTAGAAGTTTAATAGTTCACATCATCAAAAATTATCTTTGATCAACTATGTCACAAGAAAGATTGAATGGATCAGCATTATTATCCATTGAAAATGATTTTGCAAAAGAATTAGATTACACAAGTATGATTGATTTATTTGCTTCTAAAAATCCAAGAAGAGCGAAAATCAAGTGATACTTATAGTTGTTGTAACATAATGCTAAATATCTTTTGTAATTTTGATACAAATCTTTTGTCATTTACCTTCAAATTTTTCTTTTCATTGAATGAAAAAAAAAAATGTAAAGAGGTACAAATGATCTAGTGATATTTATTGGTTGACTATCGGTTTTGAATCTCGAAAATCTCAGGACCGGGCCTGATTATAGAGTAGCCCTAGACAATCATATAGGATTTTGGTCCTGACCAACCACCAATGACCACCTTAGCGATTAAGGTCTCACATTTACTAAGATCATTAATCCAATAAATATGGGATCTCGAATTCATATTTGCTCAGGTAGCCATCCCTTGTCGATTAGGACCAAATCTTACATGATGGTTTGAGACCACCAAATAATGTTCATAATTTGTGCCATATGATAAGATTGTAAAGGATTTGGTTCCACGTATCAGGGACACCAGCAATACACCAATGAGTGCAGTCCATTCCACTTGCACCACCTATTCCATAAATAGAGGGATGCCCATCTTTTCGCAATAACGATAAGGTCGTAATGTCAAGTAAAGTAACAGGCTTTTTAATCTTACTCAATGCCCTCTTAACCACGGCTACAGCAGGAGGGTATTGTCCTGGATATATTGAGCCCAACACCGGTGTCATCTGCCCTTGACATTGTTTTGCATTCGGTTCATTCCAATCCGAGCCACTAATCAAAGCACAAACAAGTAACACAATGAGAGTAATAATTAGTAGTATTATGGTTTTAAGTTATGGCATTTGTGCCATTTTAAGTATATTACCATATTTTATTTTAATTTTAAACTTCATTCATCGAATTATTTACTTTAGCAACATATTTTATTGCGATAACAAAATAAAACAAGGATGAATGAAAGAGAGCTTACTTGTAATGATTTGGAGAAATGCCTTGAAAGAAAACCATAGTTTTGGTTGGATCAATGTTGGTGTCGACCCAAGCACCCCATGTACCAAGCGCCATCTCGAATGCAACCATCCTATCCATGTCCTTCATCACTTTACTTCCTACTTGAATAAAATCCCATCTGCAATTTCACAACAATTACATAATAATAAGAAAATCAATTAAAAAATAACTTTTTTTTTTTCAACAAAAAAAGAAAAAAAGAAAAAAAAAGAAAAAGAAAAAGAAAAGAGAAGAAGGTTGGAGTTGGTTTGAACTAACGGTTGGTGAGCATTTCTATAATTCCACCAATGCCATGTATTGAAGATTAACATGTCCATCCCTAACCAATTCTTGCCATCCTCAATTGAGTCAAGTTTTAAAATTCGGCCTTCTGTCTCATTCACTATGTCCACCAAAAACATATTGCGATCAAGCAACACTTTAACATCATAATCCTGAAAGGAAAATGGCTGGTAGCTCGAAAGTGAAGGGTCGAATGGGTCGAAAATATTCTCTTACCGGTAAGAGAATATAAAAAAAGCCTAAAATGTCTTGAATAATTTTATGCGCACAAAAAAAAAAGAAAATGAACATAATGTCTCATAAGAGGATTGGCCCCACCTTTTTGAGAGATATTGTGTGTTCATTTTTTTTTTTTTTGAAAAAATGGTATAGACCCCAAATAATGTACCAAATTTTCTACCAAAACTTTTGTATGGGTGTGGGACCCACACAAACCCACATGTGTGTGGGTTTTATACTCATGTGAGAGATCTGGTAGAAAATTTGATAAATTATTTGAGATCCCTAGCATAACTATTTTTTTTTCTCTTCATTTCTGTTTGAATTATTTATTATTAGCATTTATTTAAAAGCAAAGAAAAAAAAGAGAGAAAGGAGGTACTAGAAATGGGTAGAGCATAGAGTATATACCGTGATGATGAATGTGGAGATCATACCAACTCTAGTTAGGTTGTAACTTAAGTTGGGTGCAGAGGTATAGAGCAAGCATGTCAATGACTGCCATTGATCTCGACTCAAGGAGTCCCCTACAAACATGATGCTCTGTCCTTTAAATCTTCTCAAGAATCCTAGCCCATCAAATCTATAAAATTAAAAAAAAATTAAAAAAATCAAATTAATTCTTTTCAAACATAATATATATGCCCACTCATAAACAAGATCAAATGTGTCTGTGAAAAGGACACATTGAAGAGCATTAAAATTATAAATTTTTACGTAATTCAATGATTATAAGTGATCTTTATTAAAAACAAAAAAAAGGTTTGGGACACAATTCATGGGAATATACCACAAGCATGTAGTGGCTGAACAACCTCAGAAAAAGACATCCCACCGCCCGACCCCCGTGACCTTGTTCACGTTTGAAAATAAGAATTGGGATTCTACTAGTAGTGAGACAGATCTAGATCTATTTAGTAGTTTTTTTATTTTACTTTATTTTATTAATAACACCGTCCTTAAGTTCCCAGTGATTCTCATCTAAAAATAAAAATAAAAAAGTTACCTAATTATAATCATACAATTTTATCAAATTTATTTTAAAAATAAATTAATCATTACGATAATAAAATAAATATAATAATATTTTAGGATAAATTACAAATACACCCTTTGAGATTTACTTAAAATACAAATTGTTCCCTGTGATTTGAAAAATTATAAATATCTTTCTGTCAGAATTTTTTATTTAACAGAATTAATCGAAAAAGTAAAATTTCTAACTGTTCACCTATACAATAATAAAATTATCTAAATTATTAATTGAAATAAAATTTTAACTTTATTAAAAACTGTTAATTAACTTGATGATTTATTAATAAAAGGACTTATTTGTTATGAAATTAAAAATCTTAAAGGACATAATATAATTTCTAGAACTATAGGAGTAATTTATAATTTAAATAAATAAGGGTATATTTGTAATTTACCTGATAATTTATATGAGAATGCATGACCCAACTGGCTAACACACCACCTCAGATTAGTAGTACCTTAAAATAATTACATTCCAGCTCAAAGATGCGGTGATACAAGAGGTGGACAAGCTACGACAAGTGCAGCACTTTTCAGTGTAGTTTTTCATTACAATAAACTCATTTCATAATATATTTTAAATTTTTAGTCAATTTCATAAGCTGATTCCTTAAAATAATAATTACCTTTCCTTGGCTGGAGAAAAATCAATGTCACGGACATATCAATTATATTTTTCCAAAAAGTTGTGTCCTAAACGAATTGAATTGACTAACATTCCACAAAAATCTTCATTATTATTATTATTATTATTATTATTATTATTATTATTATTTTCATTTGAAAATTGCATTGTTTGATTTCATTTTATTTTTTCTCTCATAAAAATAAAAAATCTATCTTAAATAAAACTTTTTAACCCTAAATTAAAATAATCAAAAAATCAAAAAACTAACTCGGATGCGAGTAGGGGTGCAACTCGGGCGGGTTTGGTAGGGTTGGGAGGTTGTCCAAGCCCAGGCCAAGTTGTGCTGAATCTTAAGATATTTTGTTATGCCTTTTTTATATTTGGTTATAACTTTTGTTTTTTAATTATAACTCAGAAAATATAACGTTATGTTATTTTCTTCTATAGTTATAAAGTGTATATAATTTACACTGTGTACCATAATTTTTTCCATTTCTAAAAACAATGATAATATTAAAAATAAAAATAAAATAAAGATAAATAAATAAAACACATTAGGAAGACAGCTATGATTATAAATAATAAATGCTATAAATCAACAAATATATTAGGAAGAATTTTAGATAAATGATATTTCAGAACTCTACCAATAATTAAGTAGCTATAAAGCTCTTCAATATTAAGTTAATATGCATAAACTAAATTAATTTTATAAACAGACAAACCAACAAATAAAATCATAGTCGAGCATAGTGACGGTTCCTTCTACTAAAAGCCAGTATTTTTATATATCTTGAAACTAGTAGTAGTAACCACCATCATTGTAAACACTTTAAAAATAAAAATACATAGCGTAAATCTATAATAATAGATACTTCTCACCCACGTGTCTGATGCATCTGTGGAGTAAAATAAAAATTAAAATATGTACAAGTAAACACATTCTTAGCCTCAAATTTTGCGTTCTTTTCATTTTGACTCTTTCTAGTTTTTATTGTGTTAATTTGATTTTTAAATTATTTAATTTCTGTTTAAATGATACTTATAAGCATTGTTTTGTCTACGGTGGTGTTTGGAGAGTGGCTAAAATAGTCCCAAAAAAAAAAAAATCAATATAAAAAATCAATCTCATCTCTCTCTATTTACTTTTTTTTACATTTTTTTCTTAAAAAATAATAAAAAAAAAAATCACTAAAAATTTGAACTCCCAAACTCTCCCTAAATTTTTGAACAAAAAAATAAAAAAATTGGACAAAAACCATGTTGAAACAATTTAAATACAAATTTAATATAATTAAAATATCAAAAATCAAAATGATACAAAACTGATATTTTATAGATTAACAGTGTACTTAAGCCTAACATCCATTCAATTATATAAAGCGTATATTTTATTGATGCGAATGGTGTCACATTTTTATTTTTCCAAAAATAACTTCCACATCCAATAAATCCTAAACTAATATTTCTCATTCATCAAACTATCAAAAAATTTAAATGTAAAACTACAGAGATACAACAATTGCAACCATAGCTAATAAAATAAAAATAATACTAATAATAATGGGTAAGAAAGAAGGAAGGATGATAGAAGAAATGGGGATGGGTACCTTGGTAAATCGCAGGAAGTGGGGTGCCAACTATAATAGAGGTAGTTGTGATCAGGGCGGCCATTGTTCTGGCAGTTGAACTCTTTCTCGATGAAAGGACATGTGGTTGCGTTGTATTGTGGAGGGTTTGATATGTCTTCCACCCAACTCCCCTGGAACAAGTCACACCCACTTACCCTGTTTTCTATATTTTCATTTGCATTTCCATTTGCTAGATGGTGATGATGAACAAGAACAAGAACGATCATCACAATCACTAGTTTTTCAAAACTGCTACTAACCCACAAAGCCATTTAGAGAGAGAGAAAATGGAGCAATGAGGGGCAGCCAGAAACGTCTTGCTCTCTGCTTTCTTTTTTATCCTTACCTTACACATGCATATATATTAAAAATTATAGATACATACATGTTTGGAGAGAAAAAGAGAGAGATGATGTGAATGCTGGAGAGAGACTATTGGTCTATATGATTCGGAAATGTTAGTCAGCTCAAACTTTTTATCAAAAATTTTAAAATAATGTTATATCTATTAATTAATGTACTAATTAATATATTAATAGGCAATGTGATATAATTTTAGAAGTTTTGAATATTTATAATTTATATAATAGGTAAGATCAATAATAATGACATAACACTAGTTGGTATATTAGTATGTATATTAATTAGTACATGTAGCAAACTCGAAATTTTTATCATACATTTACATGAGTGTTAAACTTAAGCCCCGTTTGGGATGCCCATCTAGGCTAAAATAGTTATATAGGACAAAATAAATTATTTTAGTCACATAGAACAAAATGTCATATCTAACCCATAATTATTTTATTTTTTTTTTACAAAATAAAAAAAAAGCTAAAAAACCTATCTTAAATGAAACTTTTTAACTCCAAATTAAAATAATCAAAAATTAAAAAGTCAAAAAATCAATCCATATGAATGTGAGTCTTGTATCGAAATTTTGTATCCCTATGTCTTAAAAGAAAATTGTTGGGGTGTTCAGCTTGCAAGGCTCTCTTATAGACATAGAAATTAAATTTTAAAAATAAAAATAATATTACAAACAAATTGATTTTTTATTTGACTTTCTTAATTAAATAGAAAGATAGTGAAGTTTATATTAATAAATAAACCATTGTATTTTGTTTTGTGATAAGAAAATCTTATAAGAAATTTATGACATCGGTAAGTCCATAAAGGTTATAGCCTATCATTTAGGGGCTCAATACATAATTCAACTACTAAAACCCAATGTTGTTGGAACTCAATATGGCATTAAGAACCAATGATATCTAAACACGTGACAAGAGAAGGACAAGTCACATAAGCAGACAAAGATCCTGCAAAGTTATTGTACTGCACATCAGCCATTAATGAAACCCTTTATAACATTTATTGAGATAACCCCTCCCCGTCGAGACAGAACGACCTCACCATGAACAAGGCAAGTTAGAGCATAGACTTTCGGCCAAGATGACGGGTCGGAAGCGACAACAAAATGATTACCAGAGAATATAAGCAGAAGTTGAAGACAAGAAGAAGGTTAAACTTTCTATCTCTAATCTATCTCTACAATCCATCTCTCTTTCTAACTTGCTCGTCGGAGGGTTCACTGGAGGACTCCCCGTTCCCCGTTGAACTCTTGTGCAGGTTCCTCTGTGGGCTTGGTACCTCAGACATCGGTTTGGGAAGCGTGGATCAGTCCGACCCGTTCCATCTGGGACACGCAGTATTATCAGTTGGCGCCGTCTGTGGAAAAACTTTTTGCTCCGCGCGCCAGTTGTGCTCATTGTCGCCGGATACCCTTTCCCAATAACCCCTTCCTACCACCTGCGAAGGTGGATGATCACAACTAGATCCATGGCTTTTCACCACAATGTTGCCGACCACCAAGCTGACCCTCCCAATCCAAACAACCCACCGCAATATTTCACCGAGCTCACCAACAACATTAACTGCCTGGCCGAGCAAAACCAAGCCCTGATTAATGCTCTACTCCAAAGAAACCTTCCTATGCCTCCTCCACCACCTTCAGATATCCCATCCAACCAAGAACGAGCCCCGAGCCATACTATCCAGCAGCCCCATCCACCCAACTTGGAAGGCTTGCGACCCCCTCCCCCAGATATGAACCCTCCACCTCGGGTCCCACACCCATCGGCCCCGGCACCCACCCCTGAGGGAGAGGCCAGTAGTGTCTAGCCTCTGCCGTAGTCCGGCGGTGACAACGTCCCTTTCTGGGACGCGGAACTCCGAGCCATGAAGCTCCAGCGCCAAGGAGTCATGCAGAACATACCGAATAAACCATCCACCACAGCCAACTCACCATTCGTTGCCTCCAACCGGGACAAACCTCTACCTCCTAAGTTTAAAATGCCCACGATCGACTCTTTCGACGGTACAACGGACCCAGTCGATCACTTGGAGACCTACAGAACCCTCATGATCCTCCATACATTCCCTGATGAAATCATGTGTCGGGTTTTCCCCGTAACACACAAGGAGTCGGCTCGACTCTAATTTAGTTAACTGCCAGCAGACTCTGTTTCCACTTTCCAGTATCTTAGTGACTCCTTTCTCAGCCATTTCATTGGAGCCCAGCGCCAGCGGTGTCTGGCAACCCAGCTCCTCAACATCCGTTAGACCGAGGGGGAGTCGCTACGCAGCTTCGTCACCCGCTTCAACACCGAAGCCCTGCAGGTAGCGGAAAATGATGACAAGGTCATCCTCGCGGCTTTCATGGCCGGCCTACGATCATCTGATTTCCTTTTCTCCCTCTCTAAAAACCCCCGACCTCCATGGCAACCCTACTTTCCAAAGCCCAAAAATACATGAACGCCGAAGATTCCCTAGCCGTCCGACAAGATCCTACAGCCAAAAACCCGACCCCTAGTGAGAAGAGAAAGGACTCAGAGACCAGACACACCCAGTACACTCACCAAACACCTCAGTATACCGACCGACCACCCCGAGCCGACCGGTCGGCGCCAACCCGACTGCCCGGCCAGTTCGAACGATACACACCCCTCAACTCCTCCATGGAACAAGTCTTGAACCAGATTCAACGAGATTATTCCCTAAAATGGCCCCAACTGTCACAGTCTCCTTTCAACCGGCGAGACCAGTCCAAATACTGTCGTTTTCATCAGGACCATGACCATAATACGGAGGAGTATGTTAACCTCAAAGACCAGGTCGAAGGCTTGATACGTCAGGGACGTCTCAGTCGGTTCACGGAAGCCCACCCTCAGCAGAGGCAAATGAATGAACCTATTAGAAACAACCGCTAGCGCACCCCTCCTCAGCAACCCGCACAACCTAACCAAGGCCATGATCGCCCTCCACAGCAACCCCGGGCACAAGGTAACCCCGCTTCCCCTGTTGGAGAGATCAGAGTCATTGCTGGCGAGCTTGCTTGTGGAAGACTATCCTGCTCGGCTCAGCGGTCAGAACTCAGAAAAATAAAGCAGGACTCAGACAAAGAAGTTGCCACATTGGATCGACCCTCCAAACAACCTAAGCAGTGGACGGAGCCCATCACCTTTACGGAGGCCGACTGCACAGGCATCTGTTACCCCCATGACGACCCTCTCGTCATCTCTGCCCTCCTCTCCAATTACAAAGTCAGACAGGTTATCGTCGACAACGGTAGTTCTTCAGACATCATCTTCCTAAATGCCTTCCGCCAACTCAAGATTGGGGAAGAAAGTCTGTCTCCTCTCCAAACCCCATTGGTCAATTTTATTGGAGATTGGGTGACCTCTATCGGCTCCATCAATCTTCTCATCACAATCAGAGAATACCCACGGCAGACCACAAAACTACTCACCTTCCTCGTCATCGACTATCTCTCCGCTTACAACATTATCCTCGGTCGCACTGCCCTAAATGCTTTCCAAGCTATCACATCCACTTTTCATCTCGCCGTCAAATTCCCCACCGACCTTAGGGTTGGAACGGTGAGGGGAGAGCAAACCGTGGCCAGAGAATGTTACATCGCTTCACTTAAAGAGGTCAAGCTAAAGGAGGCTATGATCATTGAAAGACTCGACATCAGAGACGAGGACGAGCTGGTCAGAGGGGAACTAGTGGAAGAGCCTGTCGAGGTCCTTATCGATCCCACCAACCCGACAAAAACTGCCAGGAGCGGCAGCCAACTATCCTCCCAGGCCAAGGTCGACCTTACGACCCTCCTGATTGAGCACAACGACGTATTTGATTGGACCCACTTCAATATGCCGGGTATTGACCCCTCATTCATCACCCATCGTCTCAGCATTGAGCCCTATTTCTGACCATTCCGCCAGAAATAGCGCATCTTTCACCCAGAACGCAATACTCTTATTGCTTCTGAAGTAGATAAGCTCCTTGAGACACAGTTTATCAAAAACATGGACTACCCCAGGTGGCTGTCGAATGTGGTCTTGGTCCGTAAAAACAACGGTAAATGGCGACTTTGCGTCGATTACTCCAACTTCAATCGAGCTTGCCCCAAAGACAGTTATCCCCTTCCTCGCATAGATCTGCTTGTTGACACCACAGCAGGTTATCAAATGCTCAGCTTCATGGATGCCTTCTCTGGGTACAACCAAATTCTGATGCACTCGTCTGACCAGGAACACATCTCCTTCATCACCGACCGGGGAACCTATCATTATCGTGTCATGCCATTTGGGTTGAAAAATGCCAGAGCCACTTACCAACGGTTGGTCAACGCCGTCTTTCATCATCAGATAGGCCGAAACATGGAAGTATACGTCGATGACATGCTAGTCAAGAGCAAACTCTCCACTAATCATCTGGTCGACCTGCGAGAGACCTTCAACACTCTACGAAAGTATCAAATGAAGCTCAATCTGGAGAAATGTGCCTTCGGCGTAGGATTTGGGAAGTTCTTGGGTTTCATGGTCAGTCAGCGGGGCATCGAAGCTAACCCCGAAAAGATCAAGGCCTTGATAGAAATGCAGTCACCCAAAACGGTTAAGGAGGTTCAGAGGCTTACTGGCAGAGACGCCGCCCTCAACCGTTCATTTCCCGCGTAACGGACAAGTGCCTCCCCTTCTTCAAAGTTCTTCGGCAGACTTTCGAGTGGACGACTGAATCCGAAGAGGCTTTTCAACAGTTGAAGCAGTGCATGGCCAACCCCCTCTTACTCTCCCAGGCGCTCACGGGTGAGCCCCTCTTTCTCTATTTAGCAGTGTAAGCACCGCAGTCAGTGCGGCCCTCATCAGGGAGGACGGTTTAGTATAGCGCCCGGTTTATTACATTAGCCGGGCTCTCAGAGGCGCAGAACAGAATTACCCATTGCTAGAAAAAATGTCCTTGGCCTTGGTCACCGTCTCAAGACGACTCCGTCCTTA